TTTCTGCCACATGCCTAAACCTAGGATTTCTTGATATAAATTGCTGTAAGTGCTTTGGGAAAGATCTTTGCAACGTTTAAGTAAAACTGCTTTTCAAGTTACTGACCAGTCTTGTAAGTTCTAAATTTACGTTGCTTTTGGTCTTTACTGTGACTAGCACAGTTTGGGCGTCCTTAAAATAAACTCCTTTCCCTCTAGATTTATGTAATAGTTCATTAAGTTGTTATTAAATTAGGTGAAAACCAGTGAGAAGTGATTGCGTAGACAATTTTTTAAATGACTAGTATATCAACTCGCAAGAACAATGTATATGAAAATGATTCTGGAATGCAGTGTTAAAGCAGAGATAACTGGCCCAGATAACTTACTCGGAAATAATTTATATCAATTTAAGCTGTTAGCGCATTGTATAACTTTTCTTCCGTGACCCTCACCTATATCCCTAAGCAATGCTTTTGGAGCTTGAGAATAGAGGACACCTCTTGCTCTGTTGACCCTGCTGGAATATTAGGATAAGACAAGATTAGGAGTGACCCAGTTAATTTATCTGAAAGGTTAACACCTACAAGGCCTGGTCTCTGAATGCAGCCTCTAGCTTGGATACTAGAGATTCAGCTGAAGGAGTTTTCCTACTTGCACAACTGGTCAGACAGTAGAGCATCTGTCTCCCGAGCGAGCATGCCAGCCTGCATCAGTGTGAGGCAAGGGACGCTGGGAGTCCTGGGTGCTGGACCAACTACGTTGGCCCTTGGAGGACAGGACCCTTGGCATTGCTTTGGTCAGAAAGTGGGGGAAGCAGGGGTGCTGGGGTGGGGAGGGGTGTATTTAATATATCAGTTAGATTCTGTTTTGTGCAGCTTACTGCGTCTTGCTATCCGACATGTCTTAGTCCTGCTTCGCATTCTGAGTCTTTGTTTAATACAACATGCAGAGACACTGAAGTGGCCACGTCATTTTCATGTGTCAAGAATGTAGACAGTGTTTCAGTACCAAAGTCTTAAGACCAATGAAGGACATTAAAATTAGGACTTTCTCTAATAGCTTGGGATTCTCGGCTTTGCAACTGGTGAGCGCCAGGTTCCATTGCTTTGTGAAAGAAACAACTTTATCCAGCAGGACCCCTGAGCATTGAAAAGCTTTATGTGCCTCCTGACTTAAATCAGCCAGCTTCGGCCAAAAAAGGGCTGCTTTGTGGCTCCAGGTATTTCCAGTCACGTGATTAACTTCTCATGGGATTAAAAAGGCGCTAAGAGCGTAGAGAGACGCAGAGGGTACCCTGGGAATATATTTGGAGGCAATTTGATTTTCAGTGAGCTGGAAGACTTCCTGAAGAGGTCTCCTCTGAGTGTCCAGCTCTCCCCACCCACTGAATAATTCAGCTGAAACCAGAGGAGTAAGGGGGGTAGCTGATTGGAACTGACACTTGGTAAGAACCAAGATCTACCTATCAGCTCACTCATTAGCAGGCCAGGCAAGCCCTCAGGCAGCTTAACTAGAAGAATCAGTGTTAACCCCTTCTTCCCCTGTGAGGCGGTTGAGAGCCAGTTAAGATGATCTGAGTGATGATGTGATGACTTGATTCAGGGAAAGCTAAATTAGTAGGGGGCCAGTCCAGCAGCACTAATTGTTAACTGGAAGCTGGGTACCATTAGCACAACCTCGCCTTAGCATGTGAGGTCTAAGGTGGGAATTGCAGGATGCAAAGTGCAATTTAAGGCTTCACAGGAGAGCATACTTCTGACCAGAGCCCTAGTTTTACAATTGTGACCAAAATCAATTTAAGTAACAATCAGGCTCTGGGGAGAAATAAAAAATAAAAAGGCAGGCTTTAGACAATCGGTCCACTTCTGAATCAAAATTGGAGTGAATGTGTTTATCTGTCTTAATCTAAGTGACTTTTTACTCTCTTGAATTCTCCCAGAATTGTCTTAAAACTATTTTGTGTTTTTAAATTTTGGAAACCCCATTTTGGGTCTTGCCAATGTCGGTTCAAAGCCCTTAAGAGATCGCTTTTGAGAATTGTTGGTGATTAGTTACAATAATGATCCTATTGGGTTTTTATTTTCAAAGAAACATCCAATGAAAGAGGGAGGGAGCCCTGTTGCCTTGGGAAAAACAGCAGCCTTGACATTTTTTCGGCATTAACACAGAAATAATGATCCTATGACTTATTTTCAAAGAAACACTTTCTTATTTACTGCGTGGTGTAAAAATGTTGCTAAATGTGTTCTTACATTATGTCACTGCTAAAAGTTATTTGCACTATAATAAAGGACTTTTCTACACGATTGTTTCCCATTTTCTAATGTGTTAAATTTAGCACCAGATATAATGTACTCAGAGTCCCTCGGGTGATGCAGAAGTTTAATGTGCCTGGCTGCCACATGATAAACTAAGCTACTAAAACAGACAGGCCAGTGGTTCAAGGCCACAAAGGGGTACTTCAGAAGACAGAGCAGTCTACTTTCGCAAAAATCAGGTCACTGAAAACTACAGAGCAGAGGTCAACTCTGACGCACACGCATCAGGTCTCAGTGTGCTGTAACAAACAGCACACGTATATGACTAGTACATTTACTCCCTCACAGTTCCTCTCTGTCTCATTGCCGTTGGGCTGGAAGTGACTCACAGCTGGCCCTCCTCTGGGATTTACAGCCTCTCAAAGTTTAGAAAGAAAGAAGTAGGAGACCAGAGCACTGGGCCCAAGGTAAATTTTTTTGTATCCTGCCTCCTTTCAACATGGTAGATCCTGGCATTCCTGGGAAATACACAAGTGTCTTGACATCAATTTTTCCCTGAGTTCAGAAGGAGATTCTTGGACGGGTCCTCAGTGTGGTTCGGTGGTGGCAGGCCAGGTCTTTCTGACCTCTGCTTGCTTGCTTAATCTCTCTTATATTGCAAAATAAATGGGTTAAAATACAGCCTAATTGTGTACGTTTAATCTTGCCTGTTAATTCGCTTGCATCTCATGTTGTCTCTTTAATATCCTAGAGGCTAAAACTGACAACACAGAATAATTACATCAGATCATAAAATGGAGGATAATTACACCGAAAATCACAGCCCTAGTCAATTGGAAACAGGCTTTGGGCAGACATAATTCAGTCCATGATATGCCCACAAAGAGAGGAAGGGTTTGATTGTATACTTAATCATTGTTCTGTGTATGCAATCGGTGCTTTCTAAATAGCATACAAGTCCCTTCTTAAGGTGTGCAGTTCTGAGTTTTAATGTAGGCATAGCTTCCGTCTTGGTGCAGAATCTTTCCACCTGTCCTGTAGCAGGTCTGTTGTTCAAAATTATTTTCCTAGGCCCTGGCCTTTGACTTTTACTCCATGGGTAGGCAGTGGTGGTGAGAGGCCATCAGTCCAACCCTGTGAACAACAGATCTGAATCGTATCTCACTGTCTCTGGCATGCTTCAACCCATTGCCACAGTCACCATGTCAGTCCATGTCCTTGAGGATCTTGCTGACCCTCCACCCTTCCAAGCATGATGTCTCTCTCTAAGGAATGACCCCTCCTGACAACACGCCCAAAGTATGTGAGACAAAGCTTTACCGTCTTTGCCTCCACGGAGCACCCGAGCTGCACTCTCTCCAAGATGCGTGTTTGTTGCATTGGCAGCCCATGGGACAATCAGTACTCTTCTCCAACACCACAGCTCGAAGAATTATTTCTTCTTTGCAAATAGGGTGTGTTAGTCTATTCTTGATGAGCTTGGCCAGCTTTGCCATCCCACCCGGTTTAAACGGAGCAGGTTTTAGTGGCAGAAGATTAACACTCTCCTTAACAACAAGGAAGAAGGAGCAGAGAGTACAGTGCACATAACTGGGGCCAGAAATTACTGTGCTAGTTAGATTGGGACATGAATGAGACCAGCAGACTCAGAAACAGAGACCAGCATGAGACAGAGTTGATGGGGCTGCAGCTCCCAGGGGCCAGAGCCACAGGCCTTCACCAAAGTGTGCTGCAGGACACGGGAGATGCTGTAATTGGAAGGACTAAGGTTTGTTAGCATTGAGCTAAGCTGCTAACCTGAAGGCTGAAGGGCCTGTGAGCTCACTTGAGAAGCCGTCCTGATGGAAGAACTATATCCTGCTGCTAGCGTGAGTTGTAACCTGTCCACTTCCCCAGTTAACCCGGTAACAGTGAGTACAGTTCTCCAAGTTCTTTGTTGCTATTGAAATGGATTTCAGAATGAGTTGTGGAACAGGACAATGGGTGTTGGGATTTGTAGAAGTAGGTACAGCAGTGTGGAGACCACGTCCGACTTTCTAGCCATTGGTTTTGTATGGTGGATGTTGCTGGTGGGGACTGTTCTCCTTGGTGAAATTAACAGAGGTTAGATGCAACTTTCTAGCAATTGATTTTGCATTGTGGATGTTGCTGATGGGGACTGTTCTCCTTTGTGAAGTTAACAGAGGCCAGATGTGACTATCCTTGTGCTGCCCCCACACTATGCACCACCCCTCCTAAAACGTCCCTCATGCTCCTTTGCATTTACCTACCATCTACCACTGTCCGTCCCCCACCCCCACCCCCACTATGGTCACTTTAGCCTTCCTCAATGTTGTAGAAATTGAATCATGATATGTAATCCTCTGAGGCTGGCTGCTTGCGGTTCACGCTGTGCTCTGGAGAATCATTTATGGGATAGAATGGATCAGTAATTTGTTCCTTATCTTTGCTGAGTAGGAAAGTCAGCAGTCCCATGAGAAGAAAAACCCACTGACCTGCTTCCCTAAAGGTTTACAGCCAGGCAAAGCTTTGGGTGCCTCAGAAGAAAAGTCTGGCAAATCAATGCCCCCAAATCAGCAGAGTCCAGAATGAAGGTTGCATAGTGGAATGTATTTGGGGGGGGGGGGGGGGATTGTATACCAATGAAAGAATTTTTCTTTTACTTTTCAAGAGAAGAGTGAACTGAGGGGAGGGTTGGGCAGGGAGAAAAAGGCAATAATGAATGAATGGAAATCCAAAATCTACGTAAACATTCATTAAAATAAAAAGAAAAAAATCCCGTGGAACAAAGTTCTCCTCTAACCCACATGAGTCCACAGACCCAAGATGGAAAGCGCCTTTTATATCAAGTAACCCACTGAATGGATATAACACAGTTTCTTTCTCCAGTCATCTGTCGAAGGATACAGTGGTTTCTTAATGAATTTATTAAATATACTGTCAGCTTGCTGTGGTGTGTTGTTGAGTCAATTCCAACTCCTAGCCGTGTAGGTTGTTCCAAGCAGTAATCTCTGTGGGAGGAGGTCACTAGACTTTATTTGCTGGGTCGGTTCCAAACACTGACTTTTTGTAGGCAGCGCGGCACTAACCATTGTATCATCAAATCAGCAGTCTTAACTACTGAATACACCAAGTTAGATTGCTTTTGTAGGAGTCTGGGGGATCAAGCAGTTCATGAATCTAAAGGATTGTGTTCAGATCAGTTCAGCTGTGGACAGTGCAGTGAACTGCGGATGTACTGGAATGATAACCCCAATGGAGAAATCAAGGCTCAAAGAAAGCTTTGGAATGAGGGACTTGGCAGACATGTAGCAAACTCTCCTGGGAGCCTGATTGGGAGTTGGATCAGCACCAGAATTGGAGGCAGCAAGTCTAAAGCAGCCTGCTGGCCAACAGCAATGTCTCCAACCTGTCTCCATGCTTTTTCAATCTCTACACGTAACAGATCATTAAGGAGGTTGGACCCTATGAGAAGGAAGGTGGAATCAGGATTGGAAGAAGATTCATCAACAACCTGCACTGTGCAAATGACACAACTTTGCCTGCCCAAACAGAAGAGGACATGAAGCATTTCCTGCCAAACGTCAAGGACTGCGGCCTTCAATATGGTTTGAAGTGAACATCAAGAAAACAAAGATTCTCACCATTGGGCCAATTAGCAGCACCATGATAGATGGAGAAGAAATTGAGAAGTGTTAACAATTTCAGCTTGCCTGGCTCTATAATCAACCCTCTATCACAATGTTGCCTATAGATTCAGTGGTGAGGTATTTTTTGGTTTTGGGTTGGTTTTTTTTTTTTTACTGGGTGGTTGTTGTGGTTGTTGTTGTTGTTGTTGTTGTGTACCGTCAAGTTGGAACTGACCCATAGCTGACTCTCCAGAAGGTTTTCAGAAACAGGTAATCACACAGGAGGGGCTTGCCCATCTTTTTCCCACAGAGAACTAGTGTATTCAGACCACATGTCTTCAGGATTGCAGTGCAGCTTCTTGCCAATAGGCCACCAGACTCTCTAGCTGTCAGGAAATCAAAAGATGAATTGCATTAGGAAAATCTGCTGTCAGGGAATGACCGCTCCAGAGTGCTAAAGAGCAATGATATCAGTCTAGAGACTAAGATGCACCTGATCTAGGCCATGGTCTTCATAATTACTTGCATCATAATTATTGTGTATCAGAGAACTGGACAATGACTAAGGACGACAAAAGAAGAATCGATGTCTTTGAGTTGTGGTGCTGGAGAAGAGTCTTGAACATACCATGGACTGCCAAGAGAACTAACAGGTCTGTCCTGAAGAGGGTGAAATCAAATTGTCCCTTGGAGGCAAAGATTTTGAAGCTTCATCTCCCATACTGGAGGGACCAGTTCTTGGAGAAGGACATCGTTCTTGGAAAGGTGGAGAGATAGTGCAAGAGAGGAAGACCCTGGATACGATGGATTGACATAGTTACTGTGTAATAGGGGTAGGTATGTCAGAGACAGTGAGACTGGCTCAGGATAGGACAGGGTTCAGACCCTATTGTACTTAAAGGTTGCTATGAGTCACAAGTGATTTGGCGGTACATTAACAAGAACAAAACAATGTCTCCAACTACTGACCAAGATATTTGGCTTCCATGCGTGTATCCTGACTTTTTTTTCCCCATCCAGACCCAGACCAAGCCCATTATCGTCCAGTCAGTTTTGACTCATGGTGACCCTCCATCCGGTTTCTGACCAGGAAGGGCCTGTCTGTCTTTCTCCCACAGAGAAGCTCGTGGATTTGAGCTGCCGGCCTTTCAGCTGGTAAGCAACAAATAACTAACACAAGCTATAAACTTGTGTTAAAAATAAAACAGCAATATTCACTCATCCATAATAACAAATATTCTGCATGAAGAAAGATATCGATACCAGGACCAACTGTGCGGGAGGGAGAGGAGGTTGAGTGGTGATTCTTTGTACTTTGCAAGTTTTCTTTAAACCTCAAGCTGCTCTAAAAATAAGTGCTAAAAGGAAAAAGAATCATTATAACAACAACAACAAATGCATTCATGTCTCATTTTTAAAAAGCACCAAGTTTATATCGTATAAAGTTTACTTAGCTTCCTTATCAAAATGGGAACAGAGGATACTTACTCATATGCCTGGTTCAGGGCCTGCTTATCTCTCCGCTGGACTCACTAACCCTCCTTTCTTTTCCTAAGGTGCAATAACACAGTAAGGCTGGTTTGTTGTTTCCTCAGCCAGACTCGGAAGCTGAGCACAGGAGGGAGAGGGCCGTTGAGGTGGGGACAGTGTGCTGGGCAGAGATAAAAAGACGTCGCCAGTCCCCTAGCCTAGCAAGGAACATCCCTGTGGAGGGATAGCACTATATACATTTTATGGCAGCATTTGGCTTAGATGATGTGGAAGATAGGAATAATTGGGGCCTGTCAGTGCTCCAAACACTTAGCACCTTCAGGTATTTGCCAAACTGAGCCAGCCACTGTCGTGGGCACTTGGATGCATCAGTGCATAAAACAGGCGGAGGTTTCTGGAGGAGAGTTCAGGAGTTTGCATTTTTTAAAAAAATTAATTTTAGTGAATGTTTACAGAGACTCAGGGTTTCAGTCATTTATTGTTGCACTTTTCTCCCTACTTACCCTCTCCCCCCAAATCACTCTTCTCCTTGAAAAACTCATTGTTATACAATCCCTCCCCCAAGTTCACTCCACTATGCAGCCTTCACTCTGGACTTCTGTAATGACAAGAATACCCATTCATATGTCCCTTTTAAACAGTTCTCTCCCTCATGTGTTTCAATGCAATATACACCATTCCTCCCCTCCTTTTCTGTCTTCCCTCAACCCTGATGTCAGTCCCATTTTACAACGGTGGTTCTGTGCAATATTTGTCCTTTTGTGACTGAGATATTTCACTCAGCATAATGTTCTCCAGGGTCATCCATTTTGAATAGTATTTTATGAGTTCCTTGTTTTCCAATGTTGCATACTATTCCATTGAGTGAATATACCAGAACTTCTCTATCCATTTGTTTGTTGATGGACACTTTGGTTGTTTCCAACTCTTTGCTTTTGCGAACAAAGCCGTGATAAACATGGGTGTGCATATATCTGCTTGGGTGGCAGTTATGGTTTCTTTAGGGTATATTCCCAGTAGTGGAATTGCTGGGTCAAATGGTATTTCTATTTGCAACTTTTTGAGAAAGTGCCATGCAGCCTTCCACAGTGGTTGCACCATTTTACACTCCCACCAGCAGTGAATAAAGGTTCCAGTGTCTCCACAATCTCACCAGCATTTGATGTCTGCTGTTCTGTTAAATTTTGCTATTCTGACTGGCGTGACATGAGAAGAATCCTGGTTAGCACAAAAGGTGCTGGATCTCAGGCACAGGGCTTCTACGTGCAAGGCCTCCACGCATGTTCATTGACCTCACCTGTTGGCTTGCATTGGGCTCGGGTAACTCCAGATACCCGAATCATGATGCTGTCATTACAACATTGCAGCCTAGTGCCACTGCCTCTGTTTTAACCTATCCCCACTTCTATCCCAACTCAAAAATAATACTCTCTGCATCAAAACAGAGGATTGCCTCTCAGCCGAGTTCTGTCCCGTTCTGCCTTATTTGGTTGGGTTAGGCAGCCCTGGTGGCTCCGTGGTAAGAAGCTGCACTGCAATCCCAAAGGCACGTGCTTCAAATCCACAATCTGCTCCATGGAAGAAGGATGGCCAATCTCTGCCCCTACAATTAACTGCCTCTGAAGGTATACCAGACGGTCAGCCTTGAGTCAGTGCCGTGCCAACTGCAGCTGCGAGTACACAACACCACCAAGAAAAAGCCCTCTGACACTCCTTTGAACAGTTAGTGGTGCGAAGCTGGTACTAGAAGAAAAGAAAGTGGTTCTAGGGGAGGCCTACCTTCTGGGC